TGTTACTGATGGTGACCTTTGTTACTTTGGTCCCAGCTCTCTGCAGGTCATTCACCAGGTCCCCGTGTGGTTCTGGGATCTTTGCTCACCGTTCTCATGATCATTTTGACCCCACGGGATGAGATCTTGCGTGGAGCCCCAGATCGAGGGAGATTATCAGTGGTCTTGTGTGTTCCATTTTCTGATGATTGCTCCCACAGTTGATTTTTTCACACCAAGCTGCTTGCCTATTGTAGATTCATACTTCCCAGTCTGGTGCAGGTCTACAATACTTTTCCTGGTGTCCTTCGAAAGCTCTTTGGTCTTGGCCATGGCGGAGTTTGGAGTCTGACTGTTTGAGGCTGTGGACAGGTGTCTTTTATACAGATGATGAGTTCAAACAGGTGCCATTCATACAGGTAACGAGTGGGGGACAGAAAAGCTTCTTACAGAAGACGTTACAGGTCTGTGAGAGCCAGAGATTTTCCATGTTTGAGGTGACCAAATACTTATTTTCCACCCTGATTTACGAATAAATTCTTTACAAATCCTACCATGTGGATTCATGGATTTTTTTTTCACATTCTGTCTCTCACAGTTGAAGTGTACCTCTGGTGAAAATTACTGACCTCTGTCATCATTTTAGGTGGGGGAACTTGCACAATCGGTGGCTGACTAAATACTTTTTTGCCCCACTGTATTTTGACTCCACCACACCCGACACCCTCTGCTCCTTTGCTGTGTCTAAAAATTGTGAAAAATTCTAAACAGAAACACTGACAAAGCCCTAGCAGAGCCCAACACCTCCCAGAAGAAGACTGGAAACAGCTAAAAAAAATACACTACAGGCAGTTAAAGAAAGCAGTTTGCCTAATGCGTTGCTTAGGGTGTGCTGGCATTTAACAGGATGAACAATCATTTGCTACCTTCACGTCTGCATTTTTGGGGAGCAAACGCAACTTTTTTGAGTAGATTTTCCAGCCAAGCTTGGGACAGTTACAGATGCAGGTGAGGTTTTTCTCAGTCCAAGGAGGGTCATTGCCAGGCAGACTGAGGCTTGCAGCACCAGGTATTTATTCACTCCACATAAAATGTATAAATAAATCATATAATACAAAAACGAACTATTCACAGTTCAACTTTTAACTATTTCAATTTTCAGCTTCTTCCTTTTAAACAAATTTAAAGTGAAAGAACACAAAACACTGCAAACCACAACACAATTAAATATAAATTAAAATATGAAAACAAAAAGAAGATGCACATTCTCTGTCATATGGACCTGCATGAATAAACTTTCTGAATCTTTTACTATACCTTTCTAATGTGATGCTGTTGTCTCTGGCTCTTTCTCTCTCTCCCTCCCGCTCTGTTCCTGTGCTACTGCGAGTGTAACTACCGCCCCTCCCCCCTCTTCCCAGCGCAAAGCACAAGGCTCGCATGCAGAGTGAAGCGGGGAAAAAAGCGCGAGAGAGGGTGAGAGAAAGAAAAAAAACCCACGGCTCGCGATAAGGAGCCGGCTCGTGTCGTTCACGTCAAAGATACGGCTCTAAGAGCCATTTTGTTCGCGACCGACACATCACTAGTGGCAAATGGGTGTAAGCCTTTTAAATGGTAAATGGCCTGCATTTGTATAGCGCTTTTCTAGTCCCTAAGGACCCCAAAGCACTTTACACTACATTCAGTCATTCACCCATTCATTCACACACTGGTGATGGCAAGCTACATTGTAGCCACAGCTGCCCTGGGGCGCACTGACAGAGGCGAGGCTGCCGGACACTGGCGCCACCGGGCCCTCTGACCACCACCAGTAGGCAAACACGGGGTTAGTATCTTGCCCAAGGATATTTGGCATGCAGCCAGGAGGCAGCCTGGGATCGAACCACCGACCTTCTGATTAGTGGCTGACCTGCTCTGCCACCTGAGCTACAGCTACCCCACAAACTTAGTCACTGCTCGGTGTCATTGGACTATCCTGGCCTGAAAGGAGACGCTACCGGTAGACTGCAGCGAGAACTGCCAGCATCTGAGCCAGACTCTGTCTCTCTCATCATGGTCACCTAAATGCAGCGCACAGTAATGGCAGGTTTTGTAATAAGGCAGATCGCACTAACATGCACTGTTAGTTGATTATTTACCTGCCGCATTAACGGGAGAGGACGTGCAAATGTTACCGCTGCTGCTGGGTTGGATTTCACGAGTCCGGAGCGGAATTAAAAACACGACAGGGCTCGCAAAATTTTTCCAGTCGGGCTACCAAAATCTAACTCAGCCCTGCCCGTCGGGCTATCATAGGAAGGAAAATATATGTCTATGCTTTTGCATTCTTTCGCCAATGTAGCTGAGTAATTATGTCATTGGCATCGATGAGCCACTGTCAACATGTGACATATTGAAATCGCTTTTGAATTTGCGCTTGTTTTTTGCTTTCACTTTCATTTTGCGATCGCGCGAATGGTGTGTAGAGAGCAGCAGCACTGATTGGTGAGTGACGATTAATTGCGCACCATTTCCTCTGACTTCATCTTATCACTCATTAGCTTACTGTTCAAACGCGACAAGTGAAATCTCTCACAGCAAGCTTAAACATGTGAGAGGTTGAGTGCGCAAAGAATCGCTGACCGTTATGTAAGTATGTGTGTAAAAGCAGCAGGATTTACGCTGGTATTTTAGTTCTGCTGAGCCAAATAAGACAGGTCAGGGTGAAGAAGGGGCAGCCAAAGAAAAGCTTACCACAAAACGGAAAAGTTATGACTATGAGGCAAAAAGAAAGCGCAGCTTTTTTGGTTTCATGGACAAAAGAATTTCTGTGGCTGGAATATGACGAGCTAAATAACATGATGTTCTGCCAGGTGTGTTGTGAGTTTCATTTGATTTCTGAGTCGACAAGCGCCTTTGTTACTGGGACTAGTAGTTTTAAGAAAGACCGCATGAGAAATGCAAGAAATGCATTATTGCCCAGTCTGCAGTATCTTTCCAGGAACAAACACCAATTGCAAAAAACATACTAAAAATAAACCAAGCACAACAAGAACTCCTGAAAAAGCTGTTTAGAACAGCGTGCTATATTGCAAAAAGTGAACTACCATTGGAAAAATTTAACAGTCTTTGCAAACTTCAAAAAGCAAATGGCCAAGATCTTGGTTCCACTTGCCTCTTACCCGTGACTTCAGTGGAAATTTCAGATTCAGGATCTGACACAGACTGATTCATGTCCTACACAGTTCTTACAAGTTCATAGAAATTTCTGTTCAATTTGAACCAAGTATTTGAGTTGATGATTGTAATTTTTATACAGTTGTTGTGATTTTTATTTTAACAATTTTTTTGATTAATTTTTGTTTCCATTACAATATTATACTTTAATGTATAATATTGTAATGAAAACAAAACATTAAAAAATTGCTTTCTTTTTTATTCGGGCTCCTTAAATTTATTTTGGGCTACCAAAAACTGAAGAATGCCTGCCCGAAGGGCTACCAGAGATTTTGAAATTTTGCGAGCCTTGCACGACATTCATTTAAGGTCATCGCGTGTTTTGTGAGCAAATGCTTTTGCATATTCGTAGCGTTTCCTCCCTTAAATGAAGTATCTACTTTGCAAGTATTGCAAGTTGCCCTGTTGTCATCCGTTCTCGTAAAGTATAACCAAACTTTTGAGCGTTTGAGCCACCATGTTTCCTGCCAGGTAAATGACGCTCCGCAACGTGGTGACGTCATTCGGGGCGACTGGAATCGATAAGGGAATCGTTTGCAAAAATGGCAAACAATTCCAAGGAATTGAAACAGTGGGAACCGGTTCTCAACAAGAACCGGGTTTCGATACCCATCCCTACTCATAAGCATCACATTATGTTAGCAATTAGTTTTTATATTATATTAAAACTAGATTACACCTGGATGTTATGTATTTAAGTTCATTTGGTTAGGAAAGTCTCAGGGTTGCCTGCCCCTTACTGATTAACCACAACATATAACCACAACCAATTTCCTTTCTCATATAAGTTTTGCAAGACATGTACAATGCAACTGCCTATTGTAATCACAGGGTTCACAACCAATCCTACCTTGTTTCTCTGTGTGCAGATGGATCTACAATGGATTCTAAATAATTAAAATGATTAAAAATCAAGGAAAACACTTTATTTCGAGATCTGTTAGATGAAGACATCTACTGTAGCAGTATACCATAGGTGATAATTTGCAATGCTTCCTGTTTGCAATATCCTTGGGCAAGATACTAACCCCGTGTTTGCCTACTGGTGGTGGTCAGAGGGCCCGGTGGCGCCAGTGTCCGGCAGCCTCGCCTCTGTCAGTGCGCCCCAGGGCAGCTGTGGCTACAATGTAGCTTGCCATCGCCAGTGTGTGAATGTGTGTGTGAATGGGTGAATGACTGAATGTAGTGTGAAGCGCTTTGGGGTCCTTAGGGACTAGAAAAGCGCTATACAAATACAGGCCATTTACCATTTACCATCACTGCCCAAGGCTAACACTGTACTCTGCTAGAATATAAACATAACAACTAATCATAGCATTCATTTCAGAATGCAAGTGTGCATTTTTGAAAACACACCATCTGTGAATTCTTCTTAATTAGCTGCTGTCATATGGCACATGATCAAAAAGAGTCCTGTCCTTGTACACCACTGTACAGGGAAGATCACAAGAGAAACCACTGACTAAAGCACTGTTAGGCTGCAGGATATCAACTGTGAAGCTCTTAAGATAAAGTCACAGCTTTTCTTGAGCCAGAACACAAGGGTTGTGTATTCCTGAATGGATGAAGTGAGCTGCACTTTATCTTAAGGAGCTTGCATTGTCTGCCAACATAAACAACAGTTGGTAGCACTGATCAGGGACACACACCTTGTCAAGTTGTACAACAGAAACCAACACAATAGCATTAGATGAATGTAGTGCGACATCATAGAGGTGCAACGAGCATACAAAAGAAAGAATCGACAAAGCACCAGCATCCATCAAGCAGACAACATAGAAAAACATTAACATATGCTTCTTTACCTTGCGTCTGCCAGTGTTCAGCTTTATGGGTGTAAGGAAGGGGTCGAAGATCATGTGGCTGGTCTCGATGTTCACTGGCGACTGCCTCTTCCCTACTGAGCATAGGTTCCAGGCTGAATTTACCAGCCCCCAGAATGATGGCACTGCAACACAAAATACAAGAGCAGGTGATCATCTGCACTGATGAGATAGCGAGACCTTTGCACAGAGGTCACACAGTAACGGGTAGGGATGGGAATTCAGAATTGATTCTTGTTGAGAACTGGATCCCAGTAGTTCACTTATTTGGAGCTGTTAGTCTGCTTGCCTGTTCATTCCACTTATGTGTTACATTTGCACTTTAATAGTAGTGATGTCTACAGCATGGACATGGACATTTGCTTTTATTTTTATTCTACAAAAGGATGAGAGTGTGATGGTAAAGTGCAAACTGCAGTTGTTTCAGCACAGAAATAACTGCATTATGCTACTAACACAACTTGGGCTCTTTGCAATTGTCTGTACCAATGACTGTATAAAAGACGACGCAACACCGCCTCCTACCATTGTGCAAAAATGAAGCCAAAATATCCCGCTTGTGGAGACTGCCATCTTGCAAATTTGGAGCCAGAGTTTGCGCAGTAGTGACTTGAGGTGGAGCGACTGTGTAAAACTCCCGCCCACATACCCGCTGGACGTGACCGCAAACACGCCCCTCTACACTTTTTACGAAGCCTGGCAGCTCGAGTTTTTTGCTGGTTTACCGCGACTGACTACTCGTTAAATTAAGGTAAAAACAACCATGTCACTGTTATAAAAAAAGACACACAGCTTATCATCTTATAGTTCTAAAATCACTCTGTTGTTAATTCGTTAGTTAGATTAGCCGCTAGCATATGCACTGTGTTGGAGGCTTGTTGCTAGCTAGTTAGCGATGCTACACACCTGGTAATCTTAATAGTCTTCAACACTTATGTTTTTGTTTTTAATCCATTTTTAGACAGCGATGAGATCAGCTGTACACTCTACAGAGGCCCAGAGTTACTGTTAATATCAAAAATGCTGTCCTTTGAGATTTTAACATAAGACTGTGAGTGTAATGGATCTAAAACTGTTTAAATCTCTACAGCCTGGTAACATGGAAACTTTAAAAACAGCAGCAGAACGTTTCAGTAGTGTAGTCTAATTTGTTCTTTTCATTTAATAATAGAGTCCATATTATATAGCTACATTCACCCTGGAGAGAAACTGGTGAGGGAGACCATCAGAACCAAGCTGGGTTTCCTGGGTCCAGAGGTTTGGAGAAACTTCTTCCCTTTCTTTCATCACAGCTGTCCTGTGCCATAAGTTCTGTTGACCCGCTGTAAGAGGCATCAATTAAGAAACACCAGGAAGACTGAAGCTCATGGCATTGATCAAGCAGCACTCGTGATCTTCACCAGCAGCTCCCTCACAGGGAAATCTTCAGCACTCCTCCGTAGGCCCACCCCAGGAGATGGATAAACCCAGCATTCCATCAACACTGTGATGAGACCTTTGGTTTGTGTAATGTTATAAATACTCCCCAGAGGCTCCGGACTTTTACGTAAAGATATTATATTCAGTCCTGTAGAAAGTTATATATTTAAAAATATGTGATCCTCTCTGGTTACTCTGGTATGAATAACTCTGAATCACTTTATGGTAAATAACACACTATGTGTAAAAAAACTGTGAAAAAATTCCAGATGACAAGTTTGTAGTTCAACATACAAGTGACGACCTTTGACCTTCATCAGGTTTTATTTAATTCTGTCAGAGAAAATCACATAAGCAGTCAGCCTGCAGCCTCTGTTTGTACTCTTACAATCAGTTATCAGACAATGTGCTTGACATCATTTTATGGAGAAACACAATAGTATAAAAAAACATTTTCCCCAGCAATTAAGTAAAGAACTGCATTACTTAAGAACAGAATAATATGTGTAATACATTACTTTTTTTGAGTACTGGCCCCCAACACTGATTACACCAACCTCCAACAAGTGCAATCATTTGACCACACACCATGTAATTAACTTGCACGAATGTAATGTCTTTATGCTGCTTGGTAACTTTCAAAGCGGAACCAGAGAACCTAATGAGACTCAATAAGGAACTGAATTGGTAAGTGATACCAATAATGGAATCGGAATAACTATGTTCGTATCAACTCCCATTCCTAGTACTGGCCAATGAGTTTGAGCATTTTTTATAACACAGAACTGCCAAACTCACAGTAAGAGAAATTTAATTAGTAAGCTTTAACTGCTGTGTGCTTTTGATATCTGATAGAAAAACCTAAGTGCTGATTGCTTCTAAATTCTAAAGTTTAAATTCAAATTCTAAAATGACGAGCTTTGCAAAGATTTATAATTTTTATTAACACACTTTCTCATATACTTTAATATATATCCACACATAAAAGATAGACATATTATATAGAGAGCATTGAAAATAAAACTACTCAAGTAAAGGTACTTGAAAATTCTACTTAAGTACAGTAGCAAAGTATTTACTTCATTACTTCCCACATCAGGCAAGCACAAGTAACTGAGGTGACTGAGATGAAAAAATGGGATTAAGAACATACAAAGCTAGACTAAAAACCATTTTTAAATTAATAATGGGTCAAATAGCTGTAGTAATGACAGGATTATGCTGTCGGATTCATTCCCATCATCAGGAACAGGGTGATTGAATCCGAACTGAAGCAGCCAAATACAAGGAGGTCTGTAAATGTCTTCAAAAAGGTCTCTGGCTTATGCATCCTCAAGGGTGCATAAACCACGGACTGCTGTGATAGGAATTCTAGTCCTAGTTGATATACAAAGGGAGCCTATTGAAAATCACACTCAACCACCAATCTCTGCAACATACACTCAACAAAAATATAAACGCAACACCTTTGTTACTGCTCCCATTCCCCATGGGATGGACGTAGAGACCTAAAATTCATTCCAGATACACAATATAACCATCCCTCCCAAACAGTGGTCACAAATCAGTCCAAATGTGTGGTAGTGGGCACATCTGCCATATTGAGATAATCCATCCCACCTCACAGGTGTGCCACATCAGGATGCTGATCTGACATCATGAGTAGTGCACAGGTGTGCCTCAGACTGCCCACAACAAAAGGCCACCCTGGAATGTGCAGTTTTTTGCGCTATTGGGGGTCTGGGGACCCAGAACCGGTCAGTATCTGGTGTGACCACCATTTGCCTCATGCAGTGCAACACATCGTCGCATGGAGTCTATCAGATTGTCAATTGTGGCCTGTGGAATGTTGGTCCACTCCACTTCAATGGCTGTGCGAGGTTGTTGGATATTCGTGGGAACTGGTACACGCTGTCGTATACGCCGGTCAAGCACATCCCGAACATGCTCAATGGGTGACATGTCCGGTGAGTATGCTGGCCATGCAAGAACTGGGACATTCTCAGCTGCCATCTGCCCTGAACAATGTGAACCATGATTCATCCGTGAAGCGCACACCTCTCCAACGTGCCAGACGCCATCGAATGTGAGCATTTGCCCACACAAGTCTGTTACGGCGACGAGCTGGAGTCAGGTCAAGACCCCGATGAGGACGACGGGCATGCAGTTGAGCGTCCCTGAGACGGTTTCTGACAGTTTGTGCAGAAATTGTTTGGTTGCAAACCAATTGTTCCAGCAGCTGTCTGGGTGGCTGGTCTCAGACGATCTTGGAGGTGAACCTGCTGGATGTGGAGGTCCTGGGCTGGTGTGGTTACACGAAGTCTGCGGTTGTGAGGCCGATTGGATGTGCTGCCATATTCTCTGAAACGCCTGTGGAGACGGCTTATGGTTGAGAAATGAACATTCAATGCACGGGCGACAGATCTGGTTGACATTCCTGCTGTCAGCATGCCAATTGCACGCTCCCTCATTGCTTGTGGCATCTGTGGCATTTTGCTGTGAGACAAAACTGCACATTCCAGGGTGGCCTTTTGTTGTGGGCAGTCTGAGGTACACCTGTGCACTACTCATGATGTCAGATCAGCATCCTGATGTGGCACACCTGTGAGGTGGGATGGATTATCTCAATATAGCAGATGTGCCCACTACCACACATTTGGACTGATTTGTGACCACTGTTTGGGAGGGATGGTTATATTGTGTATCTGGAATGAATTTTAGGTCTCTACGTCCATCCCATGGGGAATGGGAGCAGTAACAAAGGTGTTGCGTTTATATTTTTGTTGAGTGTAAATAAAGGATGCAACGTGCTACCACCTAGTGAGTAAGGACAAAGTAAAGGTTAGAGTAATGCGCAACACTATACTTGGGGTCAAGTTTAGTGGCATAGTGTATCTACACAGGATTTATATCCACTAGTTTATTCTGGTGTGGTTTAGTTTCATTCATATTTTTCCAGAGTGCTTAGAGTATGCTGTGACTTCTGCCTGTAGCCCAGTCAGCACCACACTGTTATCATATAGCCAGTCAGGAACTGAGTCTGGATGTTGTTTCAAAGTGATCTTAAGCATAACTGTAGCCATACTGATCAATGAACATTTAATTTCCAAAAAATATAAAATAATATATAATTCAATTCCATAAGTACATATGTTTTGAATGAAACTTAACTAGAACCTGATAACATTATGTGTTCAATTAATGTAATCTATCTGTTTATTGAATTGAGCATGGTGTAATTGAAGGGCAGATTTTCAGCAACAGAAACATTGACTGTTTAGGAATTACAGCCGGTTTTATACATTTTTCCACAATAAGACAAACAGAACGAGCCCACTGGTTATATTTACATGACAGTCCCTTTTACAACAACACTTACGATCATAACAGGATAAGAATAAAGGGGACATTCTTACAGAGCCATAATCTCAACATATAGTAGAGAGTGATATTATACCCCTTATGTCAAACTGAGTGATTTATGGCCCCCCTAATTGATTTATGACCCCTAATAAATTATTCGTGAGCTCCGGAAGTAGGAAGTAATTAAGTAATAAAAATATGATATTCCTAAAAATATGATATTCATAAAAATATGATATTCCTAAAAATATGATATTCATAAAATATAATTGATTATTTAGAAAGTTTCTTATATATCAAAATAGCATTCTTTTATTTCTTTAAGCAATTAAATTTTTTATTT